TGTGTGTGGCAACCAGTGTTTGGCTTAGATGTGTTTGTCAACGGTGTTTACCTGTCATTAGAGCCACTGGAGTCGAACCCTAGACAATTAGGTTCCTGACAGGAAAGTGGGAGCTATCGTCCTTGGGAGTTGAACCCGGAACTGACAGAAAAGTGGGAGCTTTCGTTCCGTAGGATTTGAACCAATCTGACAGGAAAAGCACGGTATTTTTTTCCCGTAGATATTTTTGATAGGTAAAATGGGAATTTAATAGCGTGTTTAATATTATCATTTAGATAAGTGCTAGCGTGATACTGTTATTTTTCCTTCATATTAGAAATAGCTATCAAGATGAGTCCTTAATTGTAGATGACGTTGTTGGTGTGACCCTAATATTTGACTGTGTGATCGGGTCATCTCTCAATAATAGATAGTTATATCGGGATTTAATCAGTGTCATTATAAGTGCTAAATTAAAATGTTTGTTAGGTAAAAATAGTTTGGAATTGTTGTTAGTCCGTCTACATGTTTGTTGTTCAACATGACTGAATGTTACTATAGATAATAACTGCATGTGATTGTGTTACAAGTTGCGGTGTGCAAGTCCAAGAAGTCACCGAGGCCTGTCGTCCTCGACATTGTCCAGTGTGTCACCATCATCCACGTGTTCTTTGGCGGCCATGTTTCCCAGACTGGAGATCAGATAAATTTTTTTTTGGTTTTGATTTTGGTGTTTGTGTCCTGGTCAGTTCTCCAGTCCACGAGATTCCATTTCGATTGAGCTGGTACATAGGCGCTGTGAATTATCTATCATTCTTGGCTATCCTTTCTCGTCAGTCTATTGTTTTCGTGGGAGGTTGGTTAGGGCTAATAGTCTGTTATTTTGTCTATGTGTTAGGATAGCAGTCTGTTACGTTTAAGCTGTGACTAGATTCTTGATGCAACAGCACCGCGTTGTGCTATCGTATTGATTGTCAGAAGTAATAGCTCGTGACGTTTTGTTTGTAATTACTTCCATGTTTTTCTTCATTGTGCTTTAAAGTCTGTTTATAAGTGTATTCTCTCGTGTGTGTTTTCGGTCGTTCTGTTGCGTTACTATTTAAATTGAAAATTCTCTTAGGTGTCATTAATTTTACGCCCACGCAGTCAAGTTTGACATTATTTACTTTAATTTTAAACCATACTGAAGTATTTAAGATTAACTGAATAAATAACAGTTTTAAAAAGTGTGCTAGTAAAACGTTTATAATTTATTTTAAAGACAAAAATTTATAGTAAATACGAAAGGAAATCATATTTATGGTAATGTGTCAGACTTGTGAAACGGATGTGCACGAAAACACTCAGTTTCTGGAACAGGACTAGAGTCCAGAAGTGGACGAAAAACTAGAAATTTCCATTGGAGTTTACCGCCGGTGAAAGCGAAGAAGAAGAAATTTATAGTCTAATCCTCATCACCGAGTGCCTTGCCAGCTGTCTTATGCGTTCCGGCGTCTGCACAGATCTCGGTCTTTGGTGTTCTGGATCAGTTCCACTGATGATACTCCTCCATGCCACCCACCATCATCTGATGACGATCTGGTGTCACCTGTTGCTCCTGGCGGTCCCTACCGGACGAGGCTGTCTGGGGACATCCATTAACGTTGTTCAGTGAATCATATCTGTGACAATATAAACACTTGGGAAGATAATTTGGTGGTTTCCCGGTACCTTCTGTATCCACGTCGGGGTCTTTTACCTCATCCTTTGACAGTAATTGCCCACGCTCAGGACAAGTGGATACACGTTCCCCAGATCTGTGTTTGCCTCGCCGTAGTGTGTTTCCCATCCTCTACTGCGTGGTACAGTTACAGAAGCCAATGTAAAGATACATTATATCACAGAGATCTACAAATTAATACATCAAAAATATACGATAACAGCATCACAATGTTGTAAACATTTTGGGGGCAAATTTAATTAAAAAGCTTTAAAAATATTTATATCCGTTTACAATTAGTTATAATTTATCACCCTCAAACTTTTGCGATCCTTAAAAGCACGCCGCCCAGTGAAGCTGCACATGTTTAGATGCTGCACTGGCCTAAATAGGGCCTATACCCACAGATACGTCCACACTCACACACACCCATGAACAGATATGTCATTGTAAAGCAGGTCATTTCTAGAACGTCGCTCTCACAATGTCTGCCTAGCAATTTCAACAAAAACACACAAAAACTCGGTCTGTGGCCAGCTATCCAGCCTCGTGAACTTTCATACTCAAGGTGTCATATCTTGCGCCCATCTTAACCCCAGTCAACTGTTGCCTCTTCTCTTTCGTGGTACTATGCTGTCTTCTATTATTCTTTCCAGTCCGCAGTAACGCTTTCCGTTTCCGAAACAAGATGCTATTTACCAGCCATTTACTGGCCAATCTTCCCTGACGTTCAGATCTTTTAGGATGTCAGTATTTCGTTTCCATTTGGTTCATCGTATTCTGATAATCTTTTTATAGTATTGCAGAACAAAAGCCTAATATTTCCTTCCTTAATTTCTGCGAGAGAGTCTACGACTCATATCCGTTAGTTGCTACATGAAAGATGATGGCAGCGGAGACGGAGATATACGTTTAAAGTAGAAAGTATATGTTCTTTGTCTTTCAGATGTATTATTCGAAATGTACATATACTCTTATGTGTGTACTCTTATGTGTGTTTCTTCATCTGCAAGTTTGCCCCCACTGTAGCATTGACCCTCATATAACTGACACCAAACTGTCATATCCTTCACATTTGCAGCAGCACCATCTAAATGTTGCGCACATTACTTTTCTGTACCAATTCTTTTCCCCATGACTTTTAGGACTCCCTGTTATGCTTGTGTGGATTCACCAGGAAGATTATTTTAATTATACGTGCCCCAGATTTTCTTATTGAGGTTCGCCGAATAGTCTCGTGTGCGTTTTAGAGGTTGTGTCGACCAGGAAAGATAAAATATGTTGCTATATCCGTAAAGTGACCTTCGGGTCGATTGGCAAGAGTCTAGCACAGTGTTCTTCAAACCATGGGCCGCGAAAAGCCCAAGTGGGCTGAATTTATGCCTAATCCGTTGACGGTTGTATGGTAGGTAGTTTTTCACTGTGTGGATTGCAATAGAAGGATTACCACCTCACGTATAAAAATTAAAAAAAAAAATTGTTGCATCGGCTGAAAATGTTTATTGTGTGCTATTTTAACTAATAAACTGTTATCTACATTTATTTTTATTCCTGTGTTTGGTTAGCTGTTAACTGAGCCGCGAAAGAAATTTCCCCGTGTTAATGGGCTGTGGGTATGAGAAGGATGAGACACACTGGAGCAAACACGTTTCTGCCGCTCATGGGATCACACACATCCAGATCCAAATAGTCACTAAACAGCCCCGACATCACTATAAAGGGGAAGGACAGAGGATATATGTTTCTAGCCAGCAGCTGTCAGACGACGCTAATATATTGTGTTGCCTACACGGTTATTAATGACACATTCGTTATTGATGTCATTTATCTAATGAGACGACCATAGCTTTGTTATTGTCCTGTATGTACACATCACTGCACTCTATGTACCAGTTAGCCTTTGACTGTGCGCGTTAACTATGTGCCTGTGTGTGTGTATATGTGCGTATGTGTGTGTATTTATATGTCTGTATCTGCACATGTGTCTGTGAGAGTGTATATGTGTTTATATGTGTGTGTTTATCTATGTGTGTTTATGTATGTATGTGTATGTATACGTGTGTGTATGTGTGTGTGTCTGTTTATATGTCTGTGCTTGCACATGTGTCTGTGAGAGTGTATATGTGTTTATGTATGTGTGTGTCTGTGAGTGTGTCTGTGAGGGTGTATGTATATATGTGTGTCTGTGAGTGTCCCCGTATCTCTGTGTCTGTGTGTGTATCTGTCTGTATGTATGAGTTTGCCCAAATCTAGGGTGACGGTGTGTGTGTCTGTCTGTGATTGTGAGATGTCTATCTGTGCTTCTGTCTGCATTTGTGTGTGTGTTTGTGTGTTAGTATTTGCGTCTATGTCTGCGCCGATGCGTGTCTGTCCCTGTATCCAAGTGTGTCTATGTCTATGCGTGTGTGTGAGTGTGTCCATGTCTACGCATGTGTGTGAGTGTGTCCATGTCTATGCGTGTTTGTGACTCACTCTATGTGCTGTCCCTGTATCCAAGTGTGTTTTTGTCTACGCGTGTGTGTGAGTGTGTCCATGTCTATGCGTATGTGTGAGTGTGTCCATGTCTATGCGTGTGTGTGTGCGTGTGTGTCAATGTCTATGCGTGTGTGTGTGATTGTGTATCTGGATCAAACATCCTAACCTGCACATTTGTTGGCAGTTGCACTTGTCACAAAGCTCTAAATCATCAAAGACAAATCTCCCTCATTTCTCTGCCCCTAAAAAGGGGGAGGGGTGGGGGGAGGAAGGGGGATTCAAAGGCATTAAATATATTACCTTCCAACATGGCCTTTAGCTGGCTGACTGCTGTCGCTCTTTAAAATTATTTGTTTCCAGATAGGTTTTGCTGATGCAAATTCCACATTTCAGGACTGGGAGTACAGAGGTTCCGTCGCCCAGCTACTAATTTGAGTGCTTGATATGACACAGTAAGCTGTATATTTCACGTAGAATATTTTTTGGTTCTGTTGTGCACGCGGTGTGTCGTTGACTGTACTAAAATAGCAGCGATCGATTACATTCATAATGGCATGTACTTTTGCCGACTTTCGTGACAGACCGTTTGCCAAACAGCAAGCTACAGTTATGCGTGGGACTGTTAGCTGCCTTTTGTATTTGTGTGTAAACTTCAAAATGTTGCTAACACTGACACGTTTTTCGTAGTCTTTCATACTGGACAGAAAATAGCGTTTTGTGTGATTTCCACTACCACGTGAACAGCGCAGTTTTGGGGACACCCGTTTGCAGTGATGTTGCGACCTCGATTAACTAATTACATACAGTTGTTTTAAATCTGATTTGTGGGCATTCGCAAGTAACTTACCTTGAATTGTAGCATGTGATAACTGACAGGTTTTCATTTGAAACACTGCCAATGTTGACTAATGGAGGCTCGGAGAGGTAGAACTTTTCAAATGGGTACAGCGACGGGATGGGGGGCTTGGAAAAGAAATCCTGGAGCAACAAACCACAGCTGTAGAAGATAGGACGCCATGATTAGTGCAGTGGCTTTTGTATGAAACAAGATGGGGCACCGTCTCGACAGTGAAGACTGCAGTGGATCTCCAAAGCTTTCTGTCTCTGATCTTGGTTTACATGGTAAGGTTCCAAACTCTTCTAGAATGGCCTGCCAGTCTAATGTCTATCATGTCCCGAACAGCCTCATCTATGGCACAGGCTCTACTGTTAGGTTTTAATATTGTCGTTGTCTCTTCGTCAGTGAATTCATCATCATCCTTTCTGTGCCGTTAGACGTTACATAGGGCTGGCACTCTATTCGTCTACTATGCTCTATTGCCTGCAGCTTTGTATGGCGTAGAGTTCTGCTTAACATTTTGCCTTTCTGAATAATGTTCTTCTTAATGTTTCCTTTTCACACCCTTTTTCTTCTCTCTCTCTCTCTCTCTCTCTCTCTCTCTCTCTCTCTCTCTCTCTCTCTCTCTCTCTCTCTCTCTCTCTCTCTCTCTCTCTCTCTCTCTCTCTCTCTCAGACCGTTGTTTTTTTTTTTCAATTTTAGTGCCTGTTTTGTAATTCTTTGCTCATTTCGTTCATTGCATCTCACCGCTTGGCTGTCCCGGTGATCGGAATTGCGTCCTTTTCTGCGAGTTTCTGCAGCTATTTAAAAAAAATAACTTACAGTGAGGTAGCTGGCCTCACAAACAAGCCCTCCTCCTTTTTTCCCATCCGGGCTTGGGACCGGCTATTCCGGAGATTGTTGTCTCTCACCTGATTGTGTTTCTTCTTCTGCCTTTCTAGCCCCCCAGTGGAGCATAGGCCCTCAACCAACTCACGATAATTCGTTCTAAGTTTTGACTGTATGATTTGTGATTGTGTTTCTTCTTCTGCCTTTCTAGCCCCCCAGTGGAGCATAGGCCCTCAACCAACTCACGATAAGTCGTTCTAAGTTTTGACTGTATGATTTGTGATTGTGTTAAGACCATGCATATACCCACGGATCCAAGAATTTCATGTATATCACGACTTCTATACAGTTGTGATGCCATTGTTGACTTTGGGGTGTAAAGGAATCAAACGCAGTAATTTGCAGACTGCTGTATGGTTTTACTAGCTACTTTTGCGTTCAATAGTTTTTTTCCATTGCTTTCTGAAATGTCTGTTGACAGTTGCGCATCAGGCGTATTAGGCTAGATGCATAGATTTTGAAAGAAAAATCGGCCCTCGATGGATGATGTGGTCGACATCCCACCAGCCGCCTTTACTTTCTATGACTTTACCTGGTACCCATTTAAGGCTTGGTCGATCTGGGGGCCATTTATATGTTTACAAAAAATCTGGCTACATGCAGATTTCAATACGCGACTTTTGGATTCGCAGGCGAGTCTAGCCGTTACACCACAGTGGCTCCCCACTTTCTCACGTACGATTGTCAGAATTAACCTAAGTAGGTCTGCTACAAAATCGCCATTTGCTGACTTCGACTATTGCTGACTTCGACTATTGCTGACTTCGACTATTGCTGACTTCACATGTTGTTGACTGCACCAGTTTTTGAGCTCACTGATTGTTTACTACACCTAATACTGACTTCACCTGTGCTGACTTCGCCTATTGCTGACAGCACCTATTGTTGACTGCCCTATTATTGACTTTACCTATTGCTGAGGTCGCCTGTTGCTGACTTCGCTTACCGCTGACTGCACCTTTTGCTGACTTCACCTATTGCTGACTTTCCCTACTGCTGACTTCACCTATTGCTGACTTCCCCTACTGCTGACTTCACCTATTGCTGACTGCATTTACTACTGACTTTATCTATTGCTGACTTCACCTACTGCTGACTTCATCTATTGCTGACTTCAACTATTCCTGACTTGACCTATCGCTTACTTCACCTATTCCTGACTCCGAACGAACTCGAGTATTGTCATGAACTGTGTATACAACCGTTAAGCCACATATGTCTATACAATCATTAGTATAGGTTGAGATGATAATGATAGTGATGGTGAGATGATGACGATGATCACAGTACTTCTCTTTCTACAATATATCTGGCTAATGTGTGTCTTAAGAAGTGCTAGTAATTGCTATTACGTTCTTCTTCTTCTTCTTCTTCTTCTTCTTCTTCTTCTTCTTCTTCTTCTTCTTCTTCTTCTTCTTCTTCTTCTTCTTCTTCTTTTTTTCTTCTTCTGCTGCTGCTGCTGCTGCTACTGCTTCTTCTTCTTCTTCTTCTTCTTCTTCTTCTTCTTCTTCTTCTTATTATTATTATTATTATTATTATTATTATTATTATTATTATTATTATTATTATTATTATTATTATTATTATATTTTACTTCTTCTTCTTCTTCTTCTTCTTCTTCTTCTTCTTCTTCTTCTTCTTCTTCTTCTTCTTCTTCTTCTTCTTCTTCTTCTTCTTCTTCTGCTTCTTCGTTTTCTTTTTCTATCACCTTCTACAATGAAAAACAGACACACACAAATGCACAATTATTCACGCCTGAGTAAATAGCCCATGGCCTGCTGCTATTTCACACTCCACTCAGGCCTTTAACATTTTTGTAAGGAAAGCGGTTATACACAGTAGATGCACAATTTATTTCCGTGTATATTTCCATATCCAGTTATCAGACGAGAAACAAAAAAGAAAACGATGGGCAAGTTCCAAGTGCTGAAATTAGCGAATGGCTATCCACTTAGGCAAAAATGGAGGTTTTCATGGAAAGAAATTGCATCCATACTTCGCTATAGTTATTCGGCGTATCAATTCATCTGAAGACAATGTGTTTGTACACTTTGGGACATTTTAAAAATTAGACAGGAACAAACTTTTTCAATAATTTCTATAAAGTATTAAGAAAAAAATGCTGATGACTCATAAGGAAATCAATCACTAGAAGTGACACAATCCAAGGTCATAATGAAATGAGACTCCAAGGGAATAGCCTTTTTTTTCAATCCAAAAGGTAAATTTCTTTCGAAAATTATATTCTTGTAGGTCTACAATACATTTACGTCATCAGGATATGTAAATCTCTGTCAAAATGATAAATTAAGAATGATTACAGTGGTTAGTATATAATTAAAATGTATTTTCCATTATTTCCGAGATCGAATTTTGATGGAAATTGTGATGTTATCAAGGGACGCAAAGTTCGGAGCTGGGAACGGATGAAACGATTTTTAGTTAACTCCTTAAGAGACAACTTCGTCTTCTTCTTCGCGTTCACCAGCTGTAAACTCTGGCGGAAGATTCTGGTTGCTCGTCCACTACTGAACTGCAGTCCTGCTCCAGAAGCTGAGTGTTGCGTGTGCATCAGTTTTACAGATCTTATTCTCTTGAATACAGACTGTTGGTTCCTTGCCCCTCCGGCAGATGCACTCCGACTTCAAAGGAAGCTCCCCAATTAGTCGACTCTTACGACATGCTTTTGGGGAGGCAGTGAGTCTATTCTTGATTTCCCCACAATGGGGCCCCTTAACCCACACGGGGGAAGGAAACAACTGATTTAATATTTGTTCTTTTTATTATTTTTCCTTCTCGTCAGGAACGGATTAATGACGAATATTGGAGTCCCACTGTAATGCATTTTTTGTCATTCAGCCAGTCAGTAGCCTGTCCTTTGCAGAACCTTGCTCCCATAACAACCTTCCGGAAAACTTATCGATCACAAGCAAGATGTCCCGCGTCGGATACACTCATCCGGGGATCATCTGCCACATCCTGCACCCATCTTCTCTTTGGCCTTCCTCTTCCTCTCTTCTCAGACATATACCCCTCCATTAATGTTCTCTCTAAACTTTCGTGACCTTTTGAGTGACTTAAATATTCAAATTTTCTGTGTTTTATCGTCTTTAACAGCCAACCTTCTTCAATATTTATTTCTTGAAGTGTAGATGCATTTGGAAGTATTAACGTGTTGTATTCTAGAAATATGTGGCGGCGGACGATAAAGTAACGGTCTTTACTTCCTTTGCTGGGCTACGGATGATTAAAAAAAACGGTCTTCACTTCCTGTGTCTACCATTTTTTGGGCGGCCTATGACCTGGAAACACTCAAGCAATAGAATGCACTTATGAAAACAAAAATAAAGATGATAATGTTTACTGTACACATTTAATTACATTGACTTTACCTAAAAGCAAGACCCATTCTTGTGATGTCGCTCTCTGATGTATCCAAGGAGCCGTTAATGCTCTGACTTCTCCAATAGGACCTTGGGTTTGCCATCACATCTTGGCACTCCTTCCTCTCCCTAACTCTCTTCAGTACGACATGTTTAGGAAAAATGTTAAAAGTTAAAGAGTTGACTTTCCATTATTATCATCTTCTTTATCGTCTGCGTTGCCTTTAAAAGGGTCGTTGTCACACTGTGTTGTAGTTTACAACCTCGCAGCAAACACTACGTCATTCGGGCCAACACATGCGATTTCAACAGTATCCTAATTAATCACCTTTCGCCATAAGCTTGTAATGGGGGAGTGAGTCATGTAACCCTAACTCATACCCTGGGCCCTGGATCATACACAAGAAATATTATGATGTGTGGTCATTGTTTTATTATTATTTTTTTTTTAAATTATTATTATTACTTTTATTGTTGTTGCATGGACTAAATAGTTTCATTTTTAGTGAGGGTGATCTGTTGACTAACAGAAATTGTCGCTACTGCTTGTATACACCAGTTTTTAGGTAGGGTGGTAACAATGGAAAGGGTGAAAGGGGATCTTGAGCCTATGGGAAGGGTGAAAGGGGATCTTGAGTCTATGGGAAGGGTGAAAGGGGATCTTGAACCTATTGGAGAGGTGAAAAGGGGATCTTGAGCTAGAGGACCGAAAAATGAGTGAGCCGTACAATCGCTACACACTGTGTAAGTGAGTATTTTTATTGTTGCCCTCTGACATATTATTTTAATCACTAGAATTCTGACCCTTCGGCAAGAATGCTCCTAAGATAAATGCTATAAAGGTGATTCATAAGGTAAAGGTTCATGTGGGTTCCAGGGTCCTATTGTGGGGAAAACATGAATAGACCCACTGTCTCTCCAACCGGCATGTCATAGCAATGAACTAATTGGGTGTTTTCTTCGAAGTCGGGGTGCAACTGCCTGAGAGGCAAGGAATCAGCAGTCTGCATACAGATAAGTCAGATCTGTAAAGTGGATGTGCACGCAACATTCAGGTTCTGAAACAAGACTGAAGTCAAGAGGTGGATGAACAACCAGAACTTTCCTCCGTAGTTCACAGCCGGTGAAAATAAATTACGAATACATGATGAGAGATAACGACAACAGTTAGGTCCTAAAAATCCACAACAGAGCAACAAAGACAATGAGCATAAATAAGGCAAAGAGTAATCCACTTTCTCATTGTGATACCCAACTCCAAGATGTGAAGTCATATACTTGTTTTCCCCGTAATTTACATAAGGTTTAAAACAAAAACAAAAAAAAACAAAAACAAAAGAGGAGGCGGGGTGGGAGAGAGAGATTCAGAGAATTGTTGAATACAAATACAAAAGACATTGGAAGGTTTCATAGCGCTACGGAGTGTGTAGAAGTCACAGGAAATTAAGACAAATATTAAACTTATAATATGTAATTCTAATGTCAAACGAGAACGGCTGTATAAAGCTGAAACTTGGAGACTGATAAATTACAAACATTCATTACCTTGAACTTGCCAAGAACGCTAATGTAGAGCTTTGGAAGAAAACCAAACAAATTTCAATGAATCAAAGGGTGAAGAAAAGACATTCAGTACAACCCACTTTGAGAAAACATAACAACAGTATAATTAAAAGAGCTTTTCGCTGGAACCCATAAAGGCAGACCGCAGAACACATTGGTAGCCGCCTGCGGATCTGAAGATTGTGGGCTCGAATCCGAACCGAGCCAGACATTTTTTCAAAAAATGACCTTGGTTCACAGGTTGACCAGCTAGATATAATGCTGGGAAGTAAAGGCAGCCGACGTGAAGTTGACTACATCAGCGGTATAGTAGTATAGCACCATATGCCCAGGAGTCCCCGTGGTGTAGCGGCTAGACGCTCGCGTGCGAAACAGAAGGTCATGAGTTCTGGTCCAGACTGAGCCGAACTTTCTACATAAATGCAGTTGACTCCCAGGTGGACCCAGCCTTGTGAGGACACCAGCTGCAGTCCTGGGAAGTAAAGGCAGCCAGTCTGACACGCTTGTTGTAAAGATGCGACAGTTGCTTGTTTGCCTTGGGGATGCATATTTTAACTTCTCTTTCCTGCTGGATGGGGGAGGGGGGGTGGAGGGGGGGGGAGGGGGAGCTGAGTGGTCTCGATGTATGATGTCCACCTCGAGTGCTAGAGGTCCCGGGTTCTGGCCCCTGTAAAGGCTGAGATTTTTTTCTGTTCACGTGGACTTCTAGTAATTCCCCTTAGTCTTTGGGTAGTGAGATCGGATGCCCGTGTATATTGTTGCGCACGAAAAAAATCCCGTAGCAGTTGGAAATCGAAAAGAGTAGCATAACGGCGCTGTCCAGGCACAATTTGGAGGTACAAATCTACCCAAAATATTTCAGGATCCTCGCCGGTGTTACGGCGCCCGTGCACTGCGCTGAATTACTTCGCCCTCACACTTGAGTTAGAAGAAGAATGGAGCACTTATGGGTTAATACCCGTGTGCCATGATGTTGAAGCGTTGTTCAAACTTCAAAGCTTCTAAACTTCTTCCCTGCTATCAATCAATTGTGGTTTTTATGACTTTAATGGCAATACTACACACCTCTTGTTTCGTGTCAGCTATACTTAATGTCAACGCTTTTTCAAACAAGTTTCTCCCCGCGTATTGTGAAAGTAATACTTTTTTAATTAGAGCACTCACAATACGTTCATTGATTACTCTTGATATGGTGTATGGGTGTGAGTGTGTGTACGTGCGTGCGAGTGTGTGTGTGTGTGTGTGTGTGTGTGTGTGTGTGTGTGTGTGTTCTTATTATGTCTCATTCTTCTGTTATCCTCCCCCGCCCCCTTTCCCAGTAAAAAAATGTTACCGGAACTCTAGAGTTGCCAGATTTTCTAAAATAAAAACCGGTATGACGACTTGTCGTTTATTTAGAGGAGTATTTTTTTTTAGTCTGTTTTGTTACTATGATCAGGCTATAAAATATACATAATCGATACATTAAACTTGTTTCATAATTTATTCGAAACAAGGGAGTAATCAGGGGCAAACTGAGTATCTAGCAACCCTACGCTATTCAAAGTGTCCTAATAGGGTGCTGATAATCACCACAAAGGGTTTAATACCATAGCCCCGAAAAACTGATGCCCTAATAAAAGATGCCGGTACTGTGTACCGTTGCGTGCCGCCAAAGAAAAAAGCTTTGCTGTTAAATAGTTCCATCCCACATGTTACCATAACTTCTTTTGGTGAAAAACTGTATTTTTCAATTACACCAAACTAAAACAGTGCGACTCCGAGGTATAACTACTTCAGAACATACATCTACCTGAGACTGCCTCATTACTTATCAGAGGCGCCAGAATCTGGAGGCTCAATCATTTCTAGGTCTTCCCCCCCCTCCCCCCCCCCCCCCCCGGGGCCAGTTAACGTAGGCGCTCAAGCATCTCTACAGATTACGATCCCTGGTTGCCTGGAACAGCTCTGTTGATGATATCCACCCCCTCCCACCAATGCCATCGTTTCAGCCCATCCAGCATCATCTCCCTTGGTCTGCCTCTACCCTTCTTTCAACTGATCTTTCTAGTTGTTACGATGTTTTCAATGACACTCTTTTCAATTTGTGGCCACACAACACTGTGTGTCTCCTTTTTATTGTTGTATATATATATTGATGTACTTTCATAAGCGTCTTTAAAATAATCGTTGTTGGTTACTCTGGCCGTCCAAAATTTGCCAGGGGGCTAAGGGGCGACTCCCTCACCTTACCATGTATGAACGTTGACTTTTCAAGTATTTTTTAATACTTTTTGATTTATTTCAACAAATATATTATTACACATATCTGCCAGTCAGTATATATTATTAATCTTTGTCAGCATTCTAAGTGCTTGAGGTTATTTTCTGCAGATACACCCCGCCTCCAATAATCTGCCCGTATATAATCTCTCCATTGTCTTCTTGGTCCGCTTGTAATCTATCGCTTTTCAGCATTTCTGTGTACACCGTTTTCGCTTCCCTGTCAGCTGCCGTTCTATACGCTCCAGCCATTTCAGTCTATTATCCTCATGACGTCAGTGATGAAATATGATTTAAAGAGATTATGTCTTCAGCTAAAATATTTTAGCCATACCAAGCATTGTGATGGATTGGAAAGAACAGCCACAGAAGGCATGGTGCCAAGGAAGAGTGCCAACTTTGTTAGATGCTGCACAACAGCCTTTAGGTAGGAAAATGTACTGCAAAGGACCTGTTACATGATGATCATTATAATTATGATGATGATTATGATGATGATTATGATTATGATGATGACTTTGGCCGTTGCCTCTTATTCATTATTATTGCACACTTAAACAAGTAGACAATCCCCAGTCTCCAGACAATATAAGGGGACCAAGAGCACACCCCCCCCCCCCCCCCGAAACTTTCTTTTTAGTTTAACAGTTCTTTTTTTTCTTATTATAGCCGGTGCACCTGTGTTGATAGTGATCTCTTGTCAGTGAAGGGATATTACTCAGCCACTTTAGCTAGGGCAAGTTAAACGGAAGCGTGATTCAGCTAAGGCCGGCTGAGACTGCGAAGAACATTCTCTGGCGACGTTGATTGACCGTTGCGCGAAATCTGCTTATTGTAGTGCAGGCGCTTGCTTTAGGTGGCTCCCAAAGTCGTGGCCTCAAACTTTAACAAACGTCTCGAAAACTCTTGTAAGAACAAACAAGAACTGTGCACGTGGTCTTGGATTTCCCTTGTCCTTATGATTTCTTGCTTACTCACCTACTTACTTAGTTGCTCCACTTCTAGCTTGGAGTGTAAAGGTTTGTCAGAAAGATTGCCATACTTCTCTGTCAGCAGTTTTCTTTCTGGCTTTGTTCCGCTTTAGTCCCCTTTCAGTTAGGGACTGTTGGATGTTGTCTTCCCAGCGGAGCCGTGATCGCCCTGGAGGTCTGGTTCCCTGGTTCTTGCCATGTTTTCTGCCACTCTGCATACATGTCCAAAAATTCGTAACTGCAACTGACCAACTCGAGTTTGTAAGACTTAGGTTTTAAGACCTCTACGTATTGTTTGATTGCGAACTGTGTCCCTTCGTGTCACTTAGACCACCTTTCTCACATATCTGGGTATGATTTCATACTTTACAATTGGCCAGGCTCTGTTGTTTTCTTACCTCGAAGAATTTCTCTGATTTTTGTGGGACTAATAATGTTCTTCCCCCCCCCCCCCTCCCACCCCCCTTAAAAAACAGGTTAGGTATTTGGTACGTGCACTTTTGATGAACTTATCAGCAAGCACTATAGCAGTACAAGACGGTATCCACTTCACCAGTGATTCCGAAACTGTGCGCCGCGGCGCCCATAGGGAACCGTGAGATAACATACGAATAGTCATACTTTTACATAGGTTAGGGCGCCGTGGAGACATTTTAATTGGAAAAAAAAAGGCGCTGCGACTAAGAAAAATTTGGGAAACACTGCAATTCACCTTAGTTTTTCGCAGGGATTTCCTCCGAAACGCGAGCTTTCTGATGTTTTGCCAAATTCACCTCAAACTATTTACATGCTTATTGAATGCTTTGAATAGGTTTCCGTTCTCTCGTCTATCACAAAAAAAGATGTTTGATACATTACAGTTATTTTCCTACAAGGAAATGATTAACAACAGGTCGCATGCCAAATTTCAACATTTTACACCCAACGGTTACTGAGTTCAGATTTTATATTTTTCGCTGATGCATTGTTCGCAGTGCAAATCAAAATGTGTTCCAAAACAAAGTGTTCGTGAGTCGATTTAGTGTTGACTATAGGCGTTCGTGACCCGAGTTTCGCTGTATATTATCACGTAAAAAATTAAAGTATTCTTAACCACTCCGTCAGGTGTATTGGCATGAAGGGCACATAGGGCATACCTATATTTTACAGACTAATCGGCACCTGGTGGGTTGTGTGGTCAGCATTACGCCCACCGTCTTTACTTCAAATGACTTTTACCAAGTACCCGATTAAAGCCAAGTTCATTTATCGCTATCCGGATTCGACCCCGCGACCGTAGGATTCGCAGTCTAATGTTTAGTCACTACATCATGGGAGCTGTCAATATGATTAAGACGGAATGGTAACAAGAAAACGCTATACTTGAAATATAAAAATAATGTGGGTTTTTTTAATTGAACGTTTATACATGGTTACGGAGCACTTAGCTCCTTCGCAGCCCCCCCCCCCCCCCAACACACACACACTCACACACACACACACACGCCGGCAAACATATATTAAAAATATTATAAAAAAACGAATAGGGACACCTGACTCACATATTTCAGCGCCGACATATTTACATCCAAAGAGAAATGGCTGTGCAAGGCCTCCAATGACAATTCCGGAATTAAATGAGTTGTAACAAACTCCTTATCAAAGCGAAAGGTATTTGTAGGAAGAAACGATTTTATCGTCATTTTCCACTTGTTCACAGGCAGC